ACCCAACTTCTGAGACTGATTTTTACCGTATACAGATAGTCCCCACCACTATCTGATTACTCATTGTGATGTGACCGAAAAATAAAGGTTTATCATCCTCGTTACTGTCTCATTAAAAAAATTGCCATAAAAATTCAATCTAGATAAAAATCAGCCGAAGAAAAAAAGAGTGGAGAACATAAGAATTCATATGACAACTCCATCACTTATTATTCTTACGTCGATGATCAATTGACACTGAAGAAGTACCACCATCACAGAAACTTGATCTCAGGTTTTTAGTGTCCACCCCAAATTTTTAATCTTTGAATTTCGACTCTTGAGTTTTTAGTTGTACTCCAAAAATTTTCTTTGAGTTTTGACTCTTGGGTTTTTAGTTGTACCCGAAACCTTTATAACCTCACAGCCTTAGAGACCGGGGATGCTGATAACCAGGAATTTCATACTTCTGATTTTGATAAAGTTCAGAAATTTAATACACCCAGCTAACTTTACGATCGGAAAATCAAGACATCTGACCTTTAGCCATTTAATTGGATGACTTTACAAGAGAGGACCCTTATGTTTATGATTCTTATAAAGAGGATGTCTCATGTTCATTTGGGCACAATTATTTGGATTTGTAATCCTTATTTGCTTTTAAATATGAGCAAATTTCAAGAATGATTTTGTTCATTCCGACATATACGAGAATGTTTTTAGAAGGTGAAAGCTTTGCTTCATTGCATTACTTGAACGTACACAAGTGTTTACAACTTTTCATATACGACAGTTTACAGGAAATATATTGCAAGAGAATTGCGATCGGGCTTATATTTATTGGGTCTATCCGGTTCTTGATTCTGATTCCTTCTATTTTTTTTCTGGGGCTAATCTGGCAATCCCCAGTCATTTATCTGGCAGTCCCGATTCTTTTTTTATTCTGGAGTAAGTTCGGGCTATCTCCGGTATCTTGTACGGACTGTTCTGGAACTATCTTCAGATGCTTCCGGTACTTATTGTTGTGATTTTCTGTTGCTTTAATATAACATATCCTAGCGCTCGTAGACATTATTATCTTTTATCAAAATTATTTTCTAGTGACTCGCTACGAGAATGCTCCTGCCTCCTGTCAGTCAGCGATTTTAATCGATATAGTTCAAACCGGTGTCTGGAATGCCTTTGATCAAAGTTCGATTTACCTTGATTCCGGGTTGTAGAAGATATCGATATGATTACCTGATCATCTTTAACGCGAATCTTTGATTCGTATCTGTTACGAACATTTGCCCAAGTTGTTGCTTGAAAATCCAACATACTCTCTTTCAACTTCCTTGAGGCATTAGAGCTTAAGGGATTGAAACCCTTGGTAAATGCTTCCTCCGCCCATTCATTCGGTACCGTCGGCAACAACATTCCCTCCTTTTGGAATCAGATCACTAATTCTCGTAGCAACTCTGAGTCTTTTTTAGCAATTCTGAATATATCTGATTTTCTAGCTTGAACTTTCCTTATTCCTAAAAGAATCTGCAAGCATTTCAAAAGAATCAATTGAGTGTTGAGGTAAAAATAAATACCATGTTAAAGCCCATTTTGTTAGGGTTTCGCCAATTTTTTTTAACAAGACTGATTCGATCTCATGTGGAGCTAAATTATTTCCTTTCACAGCTGTAGCGTAAGTTGTAATGTGTTCATATGGATCTGGAGTTCCATCATATTTCAAAATTTCTGGTATCTTAAATCTTTTTGGAATCAACTCCAGGTCCACATTTGGTTTGAACGGCAACTGTATATACTTCTTCGAATTCCGGCCCTTTAGGACCGGAGGTGCTCCCGGAATCTGATCTATTCGGGCAGGAAATTCCTTAGCATTCTGATCCATTCGAGAATTTATTTCTTTCATACACCTCATGAGTTCGTCTTTGAAAAGATCATTGTTCTTATTTCCAAATCCATTGCCAGCTCCACCCGCTTGGTTGTTGTTTGATCTAAACTTTCCCCTGGTAAAGGTGTTGTTGGGTCTTGGTGCCATTTGATTTATAGGAACCCCAGGAGGGGTCAGACTCCACCATTAGAATTATTGGAAACAACCGATAGCGCATGCTGGAGCTCAGTCATAATTCAGTCTTGTCTTGATATATGATTCATTATTTTCCTTTGCTCCGCTATCAAAACTTTAACATTATCAGCAACGGGTTCATCATCCATAGGGGTAGGACTCCATGCACGCCGAGTATTTCTTTCAACCAGGTTAGGAGTTGACTCATTTTCATCGAGACGTGTTTCACTGGTTGAACCATCCTGTTGATTTTCATCATGAAGATTGTCCACGGGCTTGTCATTATTTGTTCCAATATTAAGCGAGTTGTTGACATCATTAGGTGCCATAACTGTTTTATACTTACAAGAAAAAAGCTTCAAAGTATGTTAGTAAAAGATAAACAGACCAAAATAATATCACAATTGTCTATGCCCCACGGTGGGCGCCAAACTATTTACCCGTCAAACGATACAGTTGAATTTGTAACGCGGTTTATAGACATGTGGATTAAATTGATCTGATAGAATAAAGTAATAAAGAATAGAAGCGAATAAAATAAGAATAATTAAGGAAAAGACAAGCCTTAGCTTAAGAATGTTTCCACCAGGATCAAGAATAATTGGAAAATCTTGACACCACTTGTATAAAGCTTAAAAGAATGTGAGAGATAATACTAGTCTTTTGCTATCGGTATTTTCTTATATCTTACAATAGAATGAAAGCCTCAATTTATACTAGAATTGTGGGCTGTATGATCTACCAATTGTGTGTCATTAATTACCAATATTAATGCTACAATAAAAGATAATAAAAAGGTGATAAAGAATAATAAAGGGTAATAAAGCCTAATAAAGTTCAAAGGAATCTTGAGATCTTCTGTAACGTTTCTGTAACGGTCATATCTTAAATTGCTTATTATTCCGGTCACATGTTTGTATCCGGTATCAACATCTTATCCGGCCACAAATTTGTATCCGGTGTGAACATGGTTGAATTACTATTGATTCATCATCCTTGACACGTGTTGCTTTCTAATTCACTCAACTTTTGAGATCGATTTTTATAGTATACACTATATATCTACCTTGAGCTTGAACTAAAAGCTTTTCCTATTATTTAGCATTCTGCTCTGTTTAACCATTGGTATCATATACTATTGAGATGGTTAAGAAGTGATCACGTGACAGTCATGTATGTTAGTTAGTTGTGTAGTTCTTAATTATTGTTAGGAGGTTGTTAGATTAAGTAACGAGTATTAGTTAGATAGTTAGTGTTTTAGCTCAAGTATAAATAGATGTGTACTGTACGGTTTATTAGTTAGTGGAAATAAAAAACTGATTCTCTCTTTCTCGTCTCTTTCCTCTGTGTAGCTCAGCTTTCTTCATATACCACGAGATTGCTTTTGTGGTTAAAAAGAAAAGTAGGAGAGAAAGAGAATGGAACTTGGAATCTTACGTTACCACTCATAATTTATATTCATTAGCCGACGCAATTGTGGATGAAAAATAACTGGTTGCGATATATCATTCTTATGATTATAGTTTGAACTTTTACCTTGTTGATGAGAGTTGATTTTAGAACTTGTAATTTCCTACCCTTTATTTCTCTCCCTCCCCAAAGTATATATAATAAAAGTTTTCACCAAAAAAATCATAAATTTTGCTTGCAATTGTCATAAGTCTCAAATACTACAACTACAACAACAACCCAGTATAATTTCACTAATGAGGTATGGGGAGGGTAGTTCGTACGCAGACCTTACCTCTATCCTGGGGTAGAGAGGTTGTTTCCGATACACCCTTCCGATAGACCCTCGGCTCCCTCCTTCCAAAAATTTTCTACCTTATTTTTGGGGTGACTCGAACTCACAACCTATTGGTTGAAAATGATGAAGGTGAAAGGAATCAACGGTCCGACGACCTGTGTGGTTTGATGATATTATTTTATTTATTAAAGGACTATATATACCTAGAAATTAGAACTAACTTCATCGTCAGAACAAAAACCTGGTTAGAGAGATGCTCCATATGCAACCTGTCACGTGATCACGTGACTTCTGTTCCCTTGGAAATTAAACTACAATGCCATCTACCAACATAAATTTAAAGTCTGAAGACCGCAGCATTGAGGAGGCAGCTATGGAGTCGGTACTTAAAGTTTATAAGATTTGTATTTACACGTTTAATTCATAACTCGTCTTAGTTATTAGGTTCGTAACTAATATAGTCTTAGTTATTAGGTTCGTAACTAATATAGTTATCTTCTTTGGTCCATAATTGGTGACTATTTTACTTTTTTATTTTGATACAAAATAAGTGTCCATTTATATAATTAAGAAGAAATTAATTTTATGTTTTCAAAATTTATCTTATTTATATATTTTAATGTGTCAAGGTAATAATTAGTTAAGGTTAATTTAGTAAATATATCTTTTTTTCTCGAAGTACGTATTTTTTTAATAGGTGTGTCAAAAGTAAAATTGTTACTTATTATGAACCGGAGGAAGTAATAAATTTTCTAATAAAAATAAGAATCTAAACAAAAACTATTAAATTTATCCCTGGAATACTCTAACTCCACGACTACCAACAATTATTTGTTTACTCAATCCCATAGAGACATTTACTGTAGTACGTTGCACCACAAGCTTTTGCCTTTAGAAAAACCTGTAGTCGCGGTAAACATGCTGTACATTTTTGCCTCCAATAAATAGACCAATACTACACATTATTATTATTATTACTGTGACTTTATCTTCTTCAGGTTTTTAAATTGTTTTCTTTATACTTGTATGTGTTGTTAGATTTGGTTTAATAAAATTAAACTTAGATCGCGTCGGTACGCAAAGTTACAAAGTTGGTCGGTGCAGGAAAACCTAGAACGCCACGTCAAAATGCATAAGATGCTAACTTGACCAGTTTTACCACTGCCCACGTCGTTTTGTACACCCCATGCTATAAATAATGCTTGTCACCATCTCTTCTTCAAAAACAAGTCAGTAATTGCTGTCTAAATCCAAGCTTTTGTCCTCTAATTTCAAATAGGCTAGACTCTGTTTCTTTGTGTTCCTTTTATAGCACAACGACCTAATATATCCATAGTTCTAAAGTAATCATGAGCAAATTCTGGACTTTGCTTTCTCACCTCCACGCTCTTGCCGGGTATTAATTCACCTTTTCATTTCTTTCCTACGACAATCTTTTTACGATGTCGTTTAACGTTCAGCGGTTGCTTTATTTATCTGATTCTTTTTTAAAAAAAATAAACATGCAGGCCAGTGGTGATGTTACTGTATCCTCTGTAAGTAAATCCATCTGCTTTCTTTTTTATTCTTTACAAATGGTGTTACGTACCTTATTATTTGTTTACTTCTTTCTTAAAAGAAAAGAATTTATCGAGCTAGTCTGAAAAGTTAATCCTGTGGTCTTAATTTCTTTTTGTTTTGCTGTATAGATATGCATCAGTAGTAGCAATAGAAAGCACATCGAAGGTGGATGATGAGCAATGGCTTGCTTATTGGATTCTCTACTCTTTTCTTACTCTCATGGAAATGGTACTTGAACCCATTCTTCAATGGTAAGTAGTAAAAGATAGAAAATCGAAATGAAAGAGCAAAACCGATTAATTCTAACTTTATAAGTGCAAGTCAGCACAAGTCCTCCCGCGTTCACACAGGATCCGGGAAGGGGCGTAATATAGACTATCTGCCATGATGTCACACGAAAATAATTTTAACTTTGCTCTGAGGTTCCCTTTATATACAGTGAATTTCTGAATTTTGATTGGATGATGTTGTGTAATGCTAGGATACCAATTTGGTACGAGGTGAAGTTGGCATTTGTGGCATGGTTGGTTCTTCCCCAATTCAGGGGAGCTGCTTTCATTTATGGGAAATTTGTTAGGGAAAAGCTGATCAAGAAATATGGATCTGCATATTTTCAAGACAAGTCTCAGTCTCCTAATGGCAAACCCAAAAACAAGCTTGTGGATTTCATCACCCTTAAGAAGGTGAAATTCTTTCCCCTGTTTTCTTGAAACATTCTGTATTTGATTTCTAGAGACACCAAAATACTAATTAGATTTTAGAAATGGAGAAGAGTAGACCTAAAAGCACCTCGGATTCCGATTATCTTTCATATCAAATGTATATTAGAATAGACTTTACATTGTTCTGAAAATATTATAAACGATATAGATTTGGTTAAAAAAAAGTTTTTGATGTTGTGTTGAAAAATAAATTTTATAAGTTTAAGTTAGTTTTGGATATCTATTTTATTTATAAAAAAATTAAAGTTATCTGGGTGGAAGAAAAAATTTCAGTCAAAAACTGTAATTACGCACTTTGTTCTTTAGTACTTACTCTTTTCTTTTGCTCAGTGCCTTTTTTTTATGGTCAATGTTGAAAAAGAAGTCCAAGTGAAAAGAGAAAAAGACAAAACTAGTTGTAACAGGACCTAATAATAAATCGAAAACAAAAAGTGACGTTATTTATAGCTTTTTTCAATTTCTTTTTAGAAAACGTTGTTCATTGGATATGATCAATGTCAAAAATTTTGAAACAAAATTTCGGTTCCCAAAAATTAGTTTACTACAGTTTTTGACTGAAATTTTTTCTTCCACCCAGATAACTTTAATTTTTTTATAAATAAAATGGATATCCAAAACTAACTTAAACTTATAAAATTTATTTTTCAACACAACATCAAAAACTTTTTTTTAACCAAATCTATATCGTTTATAATATTTTCAGAACAATGTAAAGTCTATTCTAATATACATTTGATATGAAAGATAATCGGAATCCGAGGTGCTTTTAGGTCTACTCTTCTCCATTTCTAAAATATCAAATTTTTTGACATTGATCATATCCAATGAACAACGTTTTCTAAAAAGAAATTGAAAAAAGCTATAAATAACGTCACTTTTTGTTTTCGATTTATTATTAGGTCCTGTTACAACTAGTTTTGTCTTTTTCTCTTTTCACTTGGACTTCTTTTTCAACATTGACCATAAAAAAAAGGCACTGAGCAAAAGAAAAGAGTAAGTACTAAAGAACAAAGTGCGTAATTAATTGAATAATTTCGTTGTGTTTTTCCCTTAACAGGGAGAGCACTAAAGTTGCTGAGGATGCAAGCATCAAATTAGGCTAAGTGGATGGTCTTATGTGGATATATGCAAAATCGTTACTTTCCTTTTGTAATGCACTGAAGAGATGATATGTTTCTATTGTTATGGAAAAAATGGACGGTGCTGCTAATATAGATGTCATGTATTACCTAACAGGAGATATGATATACTCCCTCCGTTCATTTTATTTGTCCAGTATTATAAAAATAAATTTTTATTTTTACTTGTCATTTTTAACATATCAAGATAAGATAATTTTTTTTCCTATTATACTCACAATATTAATTACTCATTTCAAATCATTTTCTCAAATCCATTAAAAATATGTATCAATTAATATGAGTATTATAGTAAATTATGCATTTCATTTATTATTTCTTAAGGGGTGTGCAAATTCCTTACTGTTCAAATAAAAGTGAACGGTGGGAGTATGTGTCTATTCTTTGATTCCCAATTCTTTTTCATTTTTGTGTTTTTTAAATTTCTTCTTCTTCCTGTTATTGGATTCTGTCTTTGGTAAATTTAAAGATGTCGGTTTGAGGAGACAATAGTAGTGAAGCAAAAAGCAATTATTCAGCCGAAAGAGAAAATCACGAGAGACTATTAGACCACCAAAACTTTTGAATTTGAATTCAAACTAAATGTTTATGTTAAGTTTAGATTACCAAATCAAAATTACCCTTTTCCCTTTAGCACACAGAAGCCGAAAAAAGTACTGAAAAGATGAGGAAGACGAAGAAGTACCCGCATCGGCGTAGATTCAAAGAGAATATCAACGGGTAAGCCAATATAATTGTTACGACCCAAAATCCCCTATAGATCGTGATGTCGCCGTCATGCAAGCTAACGGTGAACTAACAACTTAATTACTCATATTAATATTTTTGAAATCATAAATCTCATTATATAAATAAGGTAAAAATCTGGTACTTGGTCAGACCCGTGATCATCTTTACCAATTTTCGTATAAATTACAAAATAAAATGATAATAATTACGTGACTACAATAATGAACATCCACTAGGAACCCCCAAAATCTGGTGTCACAAGTGCATCAACGTCTACTAAGAAATATAATAAAGTACAACATCTGTCTGGATTACAAGTTAGACACAGGAGAATGTAAACAACTCTCATGGAGACTCTGTATGCTGCGGATCGTAACATGAAATGCAGCTCACCATAAAGTTCTCGCAATAGTCGCGCTCTGCGCCCAAAAAGACCACCAGAAATATATATATATATATATATATATATAAAGTTCTCGCAATAGTCGCGCTCTGCGCCCAAAAAGACCACCAGAAATATATATATATATATATATATATATAAAGTTCTCGCAATAGTCGCGCTCTGCGCCCAAAAAGACCACCAGAAATATATATATATATATATATATATATAAAGTTCTCGCAATAGTCGCGCTCTGCGCCCAAAAAGACCACCAGAAATATATATATATATATATATATATATAAAGTTCTCGCAATAGTCGCGCTCTGCGCCCAAAAAGACCACCAGAAATATATATATATATATATATATATATAAAGTTCTCGCAATAGTCGCGCTCTGCGCCCAAAAAGACCACCAGAAATATATATATATATATATATATATATAAAGTTCTCGCAATAGTCGCGCTCTGCGCCCAAAAAGACCACCAGAAATATATATATATATATATATATATATAAAGTTCTCGCAATAGTCGCGCTCTGCGCCCAAAAAGACCACCAGAAATATATATATATATATATATATATATAAAGTTCTCGCAATAGTCGCGCTCTGCGCCCAAAAAGACCACCAGAAATATATATATATATATATATATATATAAAGTTCTCGCAATAGTCGCGCTCTGCGCCCAAAAAGACCACCAGAAATATATATATATATATATATATATATAAAGTTCTCGCAATAGTCGCGCTCTGCGCCCAAAAAGACCACCAGAAATATATATATATATATATATATATATAAAGTTCTCGCAATAGTCGCGCTCTGCGCCCAAAAAGACCACCAGAAATATATATATATATATATATATATATAAAGTTCTCGCAATAGTCGCGCTCTGCGCCCAAAAAGACCACCAGAAATATATATATATATATATATATATATAAAGTTCTCGCAATAGTCGCGCTCTGCGCCCAAAAAGACCACCAGAAATATATATATATATATATATATATATAAAGTTCTCGCAATAGTCGCGCTCTGCGCCCAAAAAGACCACCAGAAATATATATATATATATATATATATATAAAGTTCTCGCAATAGTCGCGCTCTGCGCCCAAAAAGACCACCAGAAATATATATATATATATATATATATATAAAGTTCTCGCAATAGTCGCGCTCTGCGCCCAAAAAGACCACCAGAAATATATATATATATATATATATATATAAAGTTCTCGCAATAGTCGCGCTCTGCGCCCAAAAAGACCACCAGAAATATATATATATATATATATATATATAAAGTTCTCGCAATAGTCGCGCTCTGCGCCCAAAAAGACCACCAGAAATATATATATATATATATATATATATAAAGTTCTCGCAATAGTCGCGCTCTGCGCCCAAAAAGACCACCAGAAATATATATATATATATATATATATATAAAGTTCTCGCAATAGTCGCGCTCTGCGCCCAAAAAGACCACCAGAAATATATATATATATATATATATATATAAAGTTCTCGCAATAGTCGCGCTCTGCGCCCAAAAAGACCACCAGAAATATATATATATATATATATATATATAAAGTTCTCGCANATATATATACACCTGCACAATAAGAGCAAAAGTGTAGCATGAGTACATAAATCAACGCGTACCCAGTAAGTATCTAGCCTAACCCCGAAGAAGTAGTGATCGGGGAGGGGGAGGGGAGAGGGTCGACATCAGACACTTACTAGTGGCCCAATATATCAAGTGCAATAGAAAGTAAACAAGTATGAGACGTGGTAAAAGTAAATAAACAGTGTAAATATATATAGGTACGTAGTACGATCCTCCTCTAAACAGTGAATACAAGCTCTTAGTTATCCTCAACCGGAGTATATATATAAAATGGTCCCCACCAGATAGATCGCCACAACTCAAATCAGAAAAACTTACGGAGACGCTGGCTTCTTGTCAAATATTACGCACGACGTTGCCGAGGCGAACGGCCCGATCCCATAAGAGTATTTATAGAAATGCCGAAGCGAACGACTCGATCCCTTAATAATGTGTACACTGCCGAGGGTCGAACGACAAGAACCATAGATGCATCTATTATACTGCCAAGGTGAACGGCCCGCTCCCATGAGAATATGATACTGCCTAAGCGAACGACCCGATCCCATTAGAATATGAAGTTTTAACGGGTCCTTAACCCCACTCACGAAGATATGTATGAGTTATGAAATGTAAAGAAGTTTTTCAATGAAAATTCACAATGTTGATACCTAATTTTGCCCTCATATTTTCATAAATGTCATTCCTGCACCATCATCAATTTACAAAGAGTCATACAAGTATTTCCTATAATTTTTCATAATTTTTAAAACTTTAAAATTGATTTTTTTGCATTTAAATTACTTGAATATTTATTAATTACCCTTTAAAATTATTTTGCGATGACTTAATCATCTAAATTTATTATTTGTATCCACATATAGGTTTCATAATATTTTTACCTCATTCGATATAGTTATATTTGTATTTTTAGGCTATTTATACACTTTTGCTATAATAGCCTATATGATATGCATAATTACATATTTTTACATTATTTGTGCCAAATAGCATATTTATATTTTTATAATGTTAAGCTATTATTTTTAAATACTTTACTGCATAAATAATATTTTTTATTATGGTTTAATTACTTTTTATAAATTATTTTTTTGATAAATTGTGTGTATTTAAATTATGGCCTAGCTTTAAAATGAATTTCAGACCAAAATAGGCAACCCAGATACCTTAAAACCCTCGGCCCAATTCCCTCTGGCCCAGACCAAACGACCCTTTAGCAAACCCGATCGGTACTCGTTTAAACGGCCTGCCCCGCTTCTCTTCTAATCTTGGCCGTTGATCTCAAATGATCAACGGTCCACAACCATTCTCCCATTTTTAATTACCCGCCCCAACCGTAATCCTTACATTTCACTCTGTCCAACCTCCCCTAAATGCTCTCCTCTCCTCTCACACTAAACCCTAGCCGCCTTACCCAAATCCTAGCCTGTACCCAAGAGAATATGGAGATCTACCATATTTCCTTTTCTTTTTCTGTACTCACAACGTTTCTTTCCTGTTTTCTTGACATTACTAGTTTGATACTGAGTTATTTATGGAAGCTCATCAACGGGCATTCGTTCGACTCCGATTATGTATTATTGCCATGTTCTCGACTTGATACATTCACTACCAGGCTATATGGGTTCGATTTACCAAGATCTTCGGCCAATCTTTGATTTTCATCGAACTAGGGTTTGAAGTTTCAATTTTTCTTCTTTACCAGTGCTATTATTGATTGCATGTGATATTCTTTCCTTAAACGTGATTGATTAATTATTTTTCATGTTTGCTTGTTTGATTTCTACCACTATATAACCCCTCCCCAATTTTTCCTTTTGACAGACTTTAATCACCTTAAGAACTATTACTCTCTTACTCCTTCACTCTATATTGTTCTGAACTTTGGCTCTTGGCCGGCTGAAAGCCAAGGCCACCGGAATTCGACTAATTTACCTTTCTTGGTACGATCACTGCCGGGGGTTTATCAGATACCCTTGGAAACTCTGACGCACTATGACTTTGGGTTCTGCTGCTCTTTGTTGATGTTTGGAGTACTGTTGAGATTGTTCTTCTTGTTGATCTGTTCATCAATTGATAACTGGTAAGTTCCTTGGCTTTCGCAGTTTCATTCTCTTTCGTTTGTGTTCATATTTTATATACTCATGCCAGTGAAATTTTTGTGAATCAATATGTTTATATGCCATTTCTATTTGCAGCCGTATTGGCCCTGAAATTGTTTTGTGATTCTGAAATTTTTTAGCATTTGAACTTGCCTAAAATTCCCAACTCTGAGATATGTCTATTACATGTGTTTAATATGAATGATTTTTAGCTCTCTTAAGCTCGTTTAGCCTAGTGTGTTTGTACCTGAATGC